TGTCCATCCCCCAGGGAGGAGGTTATATGTAGATCCTTGTAACCAGTTCCCCCTTTCTACCCCACCTTTCCTCCTCCCTCCCGGTATCACCACTGGTCCTGAGGGGTTCATCTGTCCTGGATTTCCCTTCACCCACTTTTCTGTTGCCCATCCCCCAGGGAGGAGGTTATATGTAGATCCTTGTAATCAGTTCCCCCTTTCTACCCCACCTTTCCTCCTCCCTCCCAGAGAGATTTTTTTTTAAAGAGCAGAATGCTCAAGGGAGATTTTTTTTTTAAAACTAGTTAAGCTATAAATTATCAGGCGATTTTTTGGATTATGGTTTAAGATTATATCAGTTCAATATTTTCGGGGCTTCACCCAGCCCCCTTAGCTCTAGAAAGTCTGGAGTCCATGGTAATTTGAATTTCAGGTCTGCACTTTCCTCTTTTTGATTCGGAATTTTTCTGTAGAATCTTAATCAAACTGCCCTGTAATGGTGGCTGGGCACCATTCAGTTCTTTTGGTCTTATGGGGAGGAAACATAGAACTTGGGTGGCTGTTTGTAAGCTTTTAAGACACTAAACACTATGCAATGAACATGTTACTGGTTTAACTGACCAGAATATCATCACATGACTCCAAAGCTCCACACCAAGAAAGCAATGCCCAGGAGATCTGTGGTTGTACATAAGCTGCCTCAGTAAGCCCCCTTAAGTTCCCTAAGTAAGCTTACTAAAACTATATCTCACACATAACTTTTACCAAGTCCACTTTCTCAAGTGTACAACTTAGTGGCAGTAATTGCACAATGGTAAGAACAAGAGTGAGGATGACACGGGCCGGGTGTTGCTTTGTTCCTTGTTCTTTTATACATACATAGGGTTGCTATGAGTCAGACTGACTCAATGGCACCGAACAACAACAACATCAACATCGGTTACACAACCCTATCCTTAAACAATTCAGTTTTCCATGTGCTCCACCCCACAGCCCCCGTCCCCTAACTTCTGGTATGCTTGAATACACTATTGATTTTTTAAAGTTTCCATTATGAATTACATGAAGGGTTACTGAACACACCATCAGTTTCAATGTTGACAAGTCATACACATTTTGTTTCAGCTCACTGCAATCCTCCTCAATGTACCATCATCACTTCTCCCTGTTTCTGGTTTCCATTCCTCTTTCTTTTCTAACCCTCTGACCTCTGTCCCCGAGTAAATGCTGCTCTTTGGATTTTAAGTGGTGGAATATTCTAATACAGAAGTCAGGTCAGTTTCAGACTGGAAAGGTAACTAAGGGCCATGGTCTTCAAGGTCCCATTAATCTCTATCTGGCAAATAAGCCTGGCCTCTTTTACGATTTTGAGTTTTGTTCCATAATTTTTCTCATTCTATTCAGGATGTTTTATGATCCTTTTCAGAACAATTGGTAGTGCAAGCCGTAGTGCACCATTCAGTTCTGACCTCAGGATTGTGGAGACTAATGTATGCATGGTATATCAGTCTACTGGACTAATTACTTCCCTAGGTCTATTGAGTCCACCACTCTCCTTTCCTCTGGATGGAGAAAGAGTAATAGTTGCATCTTAGATAGCTGCTCACCAACTTTTCAAGTCCCAGTTGCTACTCACTGAAGAAGGATGTAGAACACTGTGAACTCGGGTATACCCATTGCTTTTGGTGTCACGGCGACTAAGCTCTGGACTCCCCAGGCCGGGTGACTCATTCCCTCCAGGTATTTGTTTTGCCTAAGAAATGTTCATAACACGGTCCTGTATGCTCTACCACATTCGTGGATATATTTGCAGCTAAGTAAATGTTGTTATTGGTAAAAGAAACACCGACTGCCATCAAGTTGTGTCTGACTTACAGCGACCCTACGGGACTGGGTAGAACGACCTCTGTGGGTTTCTAAGACTGCAAGTCTTTGTGGGAGTAGAAAGCCTCATCCTTCTCCCACGGAGCAGCTGGAGGCTGCAAAACCACTGTGCTACCAGAGGTTCATCTTTATTATTGCTAGGTGCTGCTAAATCAGTTCTGACGCATAATGAGCCGATATATAACAGAAGGAAACAATCTTCCCAATTGTTGTTATGATTGGGTCTACTGTTGCAGCTACAGGGTCTGCCAGTCACTGAGTCAATCCATTTCATCCAGGAAGAGTCTTCCTCTTTTTTTTTTTTTTTTAACGAAGCATCTGCTATACCAAACATTATGTGCTTTTCCAGGGACTGGTCTCTCCTAATAACATGCTCAAGCATATGAGACCAAGTCTCATCATCCTTGCTTCTAAGGAGCATTGTGGCTGTACTTCTTTCAAGAGAGATTCCCCTTCCTCTACCCACCGCCCCCTGCTTTAAAATCAACAAGGCAGACCTCTTCAGGGCTCTGTTTACACCTCGCTAGCATACTCCATCTGGATGTTGTTAGTGCACTGCTATTGGCTATTGTACAGGAGACTCCTATAGTCATGTCTGCTCCCATAGTCAACAGTCTACCTGCTTCCCTATGTATTACATAGCTTAAGCTACTGAAGTCATCACGAGACCTTCCTGGGAGTCAATTCCGGACAGTGCTATGATTGTTGACTATGGTTGAGTGTGTTAGGAAGCAGGTGTGTTGAATGGAGAGTTCACTCACAGCCAACATCCTCTGGGAGGGGGATTGTTCTGATGACAATAAGCTAGACTTACTTGGGATCAAATGAATGCATGACGCCCTTCTCCCACTCAGCAAGAGGTGAATGACAGGCAGTTGCTAAAACAGAGGCATCTTAAGCAGAGGCTCTACTCATAGTCACCAATCGGCTGGGTGAACTTTGATGGCAACAAGGCAGACTTCCCCAGAAGCCCAATTGGAACAGAAGAGCCCCTCATTTACCTAGTCATGGCAGCTTCCAAGCTGCTGCAAATTGTTACAGAATGTACACTGCGGTGGAGTTTGTTCCCATAGTCAGCACTCCACCCACTTCCCTATGGACCCTGTTAGCATGGATCTCTTCTAGTGGACTGTCCTGGAAGCGGTCGTCCAGATTTTTTGGCATAGATTAGTGAGTGCTAACAGTGCTTGTTGAAACATTTAAATTAATATTCAGTCAATTCTCGAGGCCTTGCTTTTTGCTAATGCCTTTGGTGCTGTGTGGATTTCTTCTTTACATACCATCACTTATTGATTGTATGTTAGCTCTTGAAATGGTGGAATGTTGGTTAATTCTTTATGATACAGTGAATCGTATATTTCTACCATCTTCTTAAGATGCTTCCTGTATCACAGTACGTTACCCATAGAATTCAATATTTTAACTCAAGGCTTGAATTTTTCTTTAGTTCTTTCAATTAGTGACTAAGGCTGAGTATGTTAGGAAGCAGGAGTCTTGAATGGAGAGTTTGATTTTCTACCTCCAGGTCACTGCACATTTCAATATATAACTTTACTTTGTTTTCTGAAGGTGTCTTTTGAAATTTCCTGTTTAGCTCCTTTACTTCATCATTGCTCCCATTTGTTTTAGCTAGTTGTGTTAGGCTAGATTGTCTAGGGCAGTGGTTCCTAATGTTGCGACCCTTTAATACAGTTCCTCATGTTGTGGTGACCCCCCAACCATACAATTATTTTTGTTGCTACTTCATAACTAATTTTGCTACTGTTATGAATCGGGCGACCCCTGTGAAAGGATTGTTCAACCCCCCAAAAGGGCGCAACCCACAGGTTGAGAACCGCTGGTCTAGAGAAACAAACCAGTGAAGTTTGTAAGTGTTGT